TCACTCCATGTTTATGCCAATATTACTGTGCTGCTCATCCTTGCTCAGAGCACTAATAGGGCTATGTACATAATTAGAAGAGAATATCATAAGTATCTAACCACTCATTTCTCTCCCCCAAAAATAATTTAATTACTCCAGACCAGGCTGGATAAAAATCAATGATTTTTTTTAAATTAAAAAAAAAATGGATATTTTTTATTTAAATCAGATTTTTTTGATAAAATGCTTTTTGAGGAAAAAAACCTATCTAAAGATAGTTTTAATTAAGATACATTATAGCTCAAAGATATCTCGTGGAATAGGGATTATACATTCTAATTCTATAGTATGAGACAATATATTAATGCAATGTTTAAGAAAAGTTTTGTAAATGAGTTCCAATAGTTCATGGATTAGGGACCCAATCTTATGGGGTTCCACAGGCTTTTGTATAGATTATTTAGATTAATCTTTCTATCTAACCAATGGGACTCAGTGCTCAGTCTAGAAGATACCACCAGAGATGCTTAGTTTTGCAGTTCTCAAACTGTGGATTTGTGTCTCCAGAGGTAACATGCTTGTTAATAGCAAGAATGTTTTTTAAATAAATAAATAATATACAGAGGAGAGAAATAACAGACCTCAACTCTATTGTCCCTCTGCAAATTTGTGTACACAGAGTCAATCCCTTAGCTCTCTCTAAAAGTGCAAAGTTTCAAAAAGTTCAATGAATAGAAGATTGTTGGGGGCGGAATAGATCTGGACAAGGAGAAGAAGTCTGGAGATAAATGTGAGAAGTGAGGGACATATGCTTGTTTTGTTAAAATATTATATGTTTGCTGTTGAAGAAAAAAAATCCAGAATACTTAATGTTGTTGTTTTAGTTAAATAAAACAATTTAAATGTCTGTCTGGTGATGTTCTCCTAATACAGCATGGCAAGAAAATCCTCCAAATATTAATGATTAACCTGTTGAATTGGAGATAGTTCACCTCCCAATGACTTCATAAATATCTGCTTCAATTACCTTCGGTAAATGAAAAAAACAAACTATCATTCATTTTCTGATATAGCTGTAAAACTAATCTGAAAAGTTTTCAAAATAAGTCAGTTTAAAAATGTATAGTGTGTACCTTCTAAAAATGAAATCTGCATCTATCTCTGAGTTGTGACGAATATGTATTAAGGTTATAACAACGTACAAGAATGCACTTTTATGTAGAAAACCATGATTAAATCTAGTCTTCCTGACCCGTGATTTAAATCATGATTTAAGTCAATTTGATTTAAATCAAATCCACCCTGCTCCAGACATTTTTAACCACGTGAAAGACAGAACCACTATATTGGATCAAATTCTGGAAACCACCTGACTGCCTGACTTTTTGCTTTCTAAATTTCACAGCTCCTGTTTACCATGTATACTCACAAAGACCATATTAAAGTTGTGACAGAACCCAAGACAGTTAAAGGTTGAAACAAGCCATAAGCCCTCTGATACCTAATTTATAATGGTGTGCATTAATAAAGTCATTAAGGTGGTGTCCCATTGTGCCTTGTACTGGAAGACACTAAGGTATATTTTAATCTGAACTACGAATATTCTCGTTTTCCCATTATCATATTACTCTTCTTTTAATGCATTTTTGTGTGTGTACGTTTCCTTCACTGTTAAGAAGGAATCATATTAGTGTTTTAGTATAAGAATTACTGAAAAATACAATTTTAATCTGAAAACTACTTCACAATTTGAAGGAAGGGAAAAAAATTAGTCTTAATCCAGCTGGCCCAAGCACCTCACTAAATCAGAGCATCTGCACACAAGATGCTGTAGTTGAAGTCTGACTTTTATTTTAACAAATCCAGAAAGTGACACAAAAACTGGGGTATTTATCTATAACAGCCTGAAAGAGATTAATTTAATAACAGTCAAGAGCAGGTTTAATACCTGGAGTATCCCAAACACAGCAATCTCAGGTCCAAGAACTTGGGATCCCATAGAATTAATTTCCCAGTATGATGTACAGCTCACATTCTAGGAAAATCTTAAAGCTGCTTCATTGTATGAACCCCTGGGTCTGGGGGATTAAACAAGTCTCAGAAGACTAATTAATTTCATTTTGTGGTACCTAATAAAGACAGAATCTCAAGTATTATAAGAGTATTATTTTTAACTAGAGACAGTATGGTCTTCCACAAAAATGCCTTTGGACACTGTCTGTAATTTAAAGCACCAATCTTAAACACACTTATACAAGAGAAGTACAGTTAAAAATCAATGAGACTGCTCATGAGTATAAAGTTATTCAAGTTATTCATACATATAAGTATTTCCAAGCTCAGGACCTACATACTCTACTCCTGGAGGAATTTTGCACCACTGCGCATGCGCAGAATTTATATTCCCTGCAGAAAAAGGACTTTCTGACAGGGAAGCAAAGGGAAGCCACAAGAGCAGTCATGCGACCCTCCCCAGCAGTCTGTTTCGGGGGCCGAGGGCAGCCAGCAGAGAGGCAAATCACTGTGGGGATGCGGGACTGGGGAAGACCCGGCTGGTGGCTCCTACCCTGCGCCCGGCTCAGCTGCTAGTCCCGTCAGGGCTGGGGAAGACAGGACTTCCTCTTCCCCTGCACGGCATCCAGGGCCAGGTCAGACCCACCCCCAGATTTCTCCCCCAGCTGCAGGAAGCTCTGCAAGCTCTCTTTCTCCCCCTCCCTCCTCTGTTTCCTGCACCCATCACTCCTCAGCTGCAGCGGGATGGATTCCTGTACAGGATCCCCTGCCCCATCCGCCCAACCACTGTGCAGCCAGATCCCCTCATACCCAGACCCTCCCGCCAAGCCTAACCCCCCCACATACACACACTCAGAAGCACCCCCGATGAGCCCCACTCCCCCTGCACCTGGACCACCCTGACGAGCCACCCACACCCGAATCTCCACCTAGCTGCATCTGGACCCCCCCAATGAGCCCACACCCATACCCCCTTGCCAAGCTCTATCCTCCCCACACCCAGACCCCGCCCCCTGCTAAGCCCCAACCACCTTCACCTGGACCCCCCTGCAGAGTCCCATTACCATTGCACCCAGAAACCCCCAACAAGCCCCTGTCCATCTAGATCCCACACTGAGCTGCCCGCACCCAGATTGACCCACCCAGAGCCCTCTCAACCCACACCTGGATCCCCCCACACTAAGCCCCTCCACACTTGGATCCTGCCTTGCTGAGCCTGCCTGCCCACACCTGGTGCAACTGGCACAGAGGGGCAGGGCCTAGGGTATTTCTGGAGCAGGCCCGGTCCTTGCGCTATGTCTGGGTTGGGTGCAGCCTCACCTAGGGTGACCAGACAGCAAATGTGAAAAATCGGGACAGGGGGTGGAGGGTAATAAGAGCCTATATAAGGAAAAGACCCAAAAAATCGGGACTGTCCCTATAAAATTGGGTCACCCTAGCCTCACTGCTGAGTCTGTGTCCCAGGGGACACGGGGAGCTGCACAGTGATCTCCCATCTCTGTGCAGCCAGTGGCCTGTGCTCCCCAAAGCCATGCAGGAGCCTCCACATTTATTTGACAAATAAAATTTGCATAATTATAAAATATTGTGTGCAGAATTCCCTCAGGAGTAAATGTTTACTTATGTTGGTAAATTAACTTAGAGGAGCATCTGGGCTGCTAGAAGTTTGTAAAACTTCTATTTAAATTAAAAATACTAAAAACTAACAAGAAAAAAGTCATAAAGACCAATATAAATATTTCCATTTAAAAAAAAAACAATGAAAACAGTGGGATTTAGACAAATTAATATCCCCCTGCAGTGCAGCACTTAGAAGCTGAAAGTGAAATTGAGTATAAACATGTGATACTGACTTCACTGATTGGCACTGTCCCTGATGAGAGAACTGCAAAAGGTGAACAAAGTGTCTAAATAGTAACGTTAATGAGACTTTAAATATTTTTTTTCTTTTCTTATATAATGTAAGGTACTATGAGCAACACAGGTAAATAAATTTGTTTGCACAATATTTTTAAACTGATGCCCCTTTAAATTAAATGGAGACAATGAATGTGGAAGGGTAAAAATGGCTATTTTCCAGAAGGGAAACAGAAAAATTAATTTATATGATGGGCTAAACCATTAGGACCTCTCTCTTCCTCCCTTTCTTCAGGGGAAGGCATACACACCCAAACCATGCTCTCCCAGAATTCTTCCAGGTGAAAAGTTTGGTTTCCTACACTATGACAGGTCAATTATTTATCAGAACCAAAATCCGTACACAAGGATTACAGTAATCTACAGTAGTGGTGCAAAATAAGGCTTTCATCTTGCAGGCACTTATGTATGTGCTTAACAGTCCCACGAACTAGTGAAATCATCAAGGCCCAGTTACAGCACTACTGTAGAGCTGTAGTCGTTCGAGGTAGCACTGCGGAACAGTGTGTTTTATTTACTTCTTACAGGAAGTAACCAACCCGGTTGAAATGAGACCAAGCCTACTCACCAACTTTTCTACTAATAATGTGTTTCTCCAAACAGCTGTCCCAGTCCTGCCTATTGCACTGAGGCTGTAAATTGTCCCACTGCTTCCCCCTCGAGTCAGATGTTTGGATTGGAGCCCGGTACCTTGTACACCAAGGAGGCCAGAGGACTCTCACAGGCTGGGGACTGCAAACCCCTTTCATCCCCACAGCAGGCTGGGCTTACATGGCTACCCCGGCACACCCTGGTGGCATCCCCATTCAGTGAGGAGGGCACAGGAGAGTGAAGTAATGGTCAGAACTGCAGCAGCCCAGGGACCCAGCTCGAGCTTGCCCCCGCAGAGAGAGGGCTAGCAGCGAAGGGCGCCACTCAACCACCGGCGCGCGCTGTGCCACCCCTGGACAGGGACACAAGCGGCTGCGCCCGGCCCCTCTCCCGGCGCGGCAGCAGGAAGGGGCCGAACCGCCCTGCCCCACACGGCCGCAGCCTGGCGTGAGAGCGGCTGGGGCCAGGCGGGAGCAGCGGAGGCGCGGGCTACGCACCCAGCAGGAGACCGTCCATGTCAAAGATCAGGTGGGTGGCGGGCCGCGGCGGAGCGGGGCGGCAGGAGGAAGCGGCCATGGCGGGGCAGCGGCGGGAGCCGGGAGCACAAGCGGAGGAGCCGGGCGGCGCAAGCGCTGTCAGCCGCCGGCGAAGGGGAGGCGGGCGCCTGCTGCTGCTGTTTGGTAGTGGGGGAGGCGCGGAGCTGGGGCTGGTGCCGTGCGCTGGAGCAAGGGCTGCGGGATGCTCACACGAAGTGCTCTGCGCTGCAGCTTGGGGCCGCGGGCTGCACTGCTTCGCCCCAAGGGAGAAGGGAGCGGGTGCTGCAGTTTTCTGTCTCTCTCCCTCCAGGGCGGCTCTGGATTAGGGAGAGAAACTAAACCACGTCCGGAGAGCATCTGGGCCACAGCCGCAAAAGCAAACTCCATTTGTAGCCTGTGTCACTGAGGCTGTAGGAGCCTCTGTAGTACCCAGGCACAACCCCCACAGTGTATGGAGGCCTGGCCAATTTGATAACTAGGCATAACTCATATCTCTACCCAGAGGCGGAAGCAGACTAAAATAAGGGTATGTCTACACTACGAAATTAGGTCGATTTTATAGAAGTCGATGTTTAGTAACCGATTTTATACAGTCCCCCCTAAGTGCATTAGGTCAGCAGAGTGTGCCCTGAATACCATGGCTAGCATCGACTCACAGAGTGGTATACTGTGGGTAGCTATCCCACAGTCCCTGCTGCCCATTGGAATAATGAGTTAAGCTCCCAATGCCTGATGGGGCAAAAACATTGTCGCGGTTCGTTTTGGGTACATGTTGTCAGTCTCCCCTCCCTCCCTCCCTCCTTGAAAGCAACGGCAAACAATCATTTCATGCCTTTTTTTCCTGGATTATCTGTGCAGACGCCATAGTACAGCAAGCATGGAGCCCATTCAGCTGCATACTGCTTTTGTGAGCATTTTAAACACATCGCGCATTATCCTGCAGTATGTGCAGAGCCTAACTAGGAGCCGCTAGCATGAGGAAGATTATGAGGAGGACATGGACACACTCGTTCCTAAAAGCACGGGATGTGGTAATTGGGATATCATGGCGGCATTGGGGCATGTTGATACAGTGGAACGCCGATTCTGGGCCCAGCAAACAAGCACAGACTGGTGGGACCGCATAGTATTGCAGGTATGGGATGATTCATAGAATCATAGAATATCAGGCTTGGAAGGGACCTCACGAGGTCATCAAGTCCAACACCCTGCTCAAAGCAGGACCAATCCCCAACTAAATCATCCCAGCCAGGGCTTCGTCAAGCCTGACCTTAAAAACCTCTAAGGAAGGAGATTCCACCTAATATACAACCTAAACCTCCCCCACTGCAACTTGATACCATTACTCCTTGTTCTGTCATCTGGTACCACTGAGAACAGTCTAGATCCATCCTCTTTGGAACCCCCTTTCAGGTAGTTGAAAGCAGCTATCAAATCCCCCCTCATTCTTCTCTTCTGCAGACTAAATAATCCCAGTTCCCTCAGCCTCTCCTCATAAGTCATGTGCTCCAGCCCCCTAATCATTGTTGTTGCCCTTCGCTGGACTCTTTCCAATTTTTCCACATCCTTCTTGTAGTGTGGGGCCCAAAACTAGACACCGTACTCCAATTGAGGCCTCACCAATGCCAAATAGAAGGGAATGATCACGTCCCTCGATCTGCTGGCAGTGCTCCTCCTTATTCAGCCCAAAATGCCGTTAGCCTGCTTGGCAACATGGGAACACTGTTGACTCACATCCAGCTTCTCGTCCACTGTAACCCCTAGGTCCTTTTCTGCAGAACTGCTGCCTAACCACTTGATCCCTAGTCTGTAGCAGTGCATGGGATTCTTCCGTCCTAAGTGCAGGACTCTGACATATCAAAAGCTTTGCTAAAGTCAAGGAATAACACGTCCACTGCTTTCCCCTCATCCACAGAGCCAGTTATCTCAGCATAGAAGGCAATTAGATTAGTCAGGCATGACTTGCCCTTGGTGAATCCATGCTGCTGTTCCTGATCACTTTCTCTCCTCTAAGTGCTTCAGAATTGATACTTGAGGACCTGCTCCATGATTTTTCCAGGGACTGAGGTGAAGCTGACTGGCCTGTAGTTCCCCGGATCCTCCTTCTTCCCTTTTTTAAAGATGGGCACTACATTAGCCTTTTTCCAGTCATCCGGGACCTCCCCCGATCACCATGAGTTTTCAAAGATAATGGCCAATGGCTCTGCATTCACATCCGCCAGCTCCTTTAGCACCCTTGCTAAAATGCAGTGCATTCAGCCCCATGGACTTGTCCAGCTTTTCTAAATAGTCCTGAACCACTTCTTTCTCCATAGAGGTCTGGTCACCTCCTCCCCATACTGTGCTGCCCAGTACAGTAGTCTGGGAGTTGACCTTGTTCGTGAAAACAGACGCAAAAAAAGCATTGAGTACATTAGCTTTTTCCACATCCTCTGTCACTATGTTGCCTCCCCCATTCAGTAAGGGGCCCAAACTTTCCTTGACCACCTTCTTGTTTCTAACATACCTGAAGAAACCCTTCTTGTTACTCTTAACATCCCTTGCTAGCTGCAACTCCAAGTGCGATTTGGTCTTCCTGATTTCTCTCCTGCATGCCTGAGCAATCTTTTTATACTCCTCTCTGGTCATTTGTCCAAGCTTCCACTTCTTGTAAGCTTCTTTTTTGTGTTTAAGATCAGCAAGGAATTCACTGTTAAGCCAAGCTGGGCGCCTGCCATATTTACTATTCTTTCTACACATCAGGATGGTTTGTTCCTGTAAACTCAATAAGGATTCTTTAAAATACAGCCAGCTCTCCTGGACTCCTTTCCCCCTCATGTTATTCTCCCAGGGGATTCTGCCTATCAGTTCCCTGAGGAAGTCAAAGTCTGCTTTTCTGAAGTCCTAGGTCCGTATTCTGCTGCTCTCCTTTCTTCCTTGTGTCAGGATCCTGAACTCGACCATCTCATGGTCACTGCCTCCCAGGTTCCCATCCACTTTTGCTTCCCCTACTAATTCTTCCCTGTTTGTGAGCAGCAGGTCAAGAAGAGCTCTGCCCCTAGTTGGTTCCTCCAGCACTTGCACCAGGAAATTGTCCCTTATCCTTTCCAAAAACTTCCTGGATTGTCTGTGCACCGTTGTATTGCTCTCCCAGCAGATATTGGGGTGATTGAAGTCCCCCATGAGAACCAGGGCCTGTGATCTAGTAACTTCTGTTAATTGCCTGAAGAAAACCTCGTCCACCTCATACCCCTGGTCTGGTGATCTATAGCAGACTCCCACCATGACTTCACCCTTGTTGTTCACACTTCTAAACTTAATCCAGAGACTCTCAGGTTTTTCTGCAGTTTCATACTGGATCTCTGAGCAATCATACTGCTCTCTTACTTACAATGCAACTCCCCCACCTTTTCTGCCCTGCCTGTCCTTCCTGAACAGTTTATATCCATCCATGACAGTACTCCAGTCATGTGAGTTATCCCACCAAGTCTCTGTTATTCCAATCACATCATAATTCCTTGACTGTGCCAGGACTTCCAGTTCTCCCTGCTTGTTTCCCAGGCTTCTTGCATTTGTGTATAGGCACTTAAGATAACTCGCTGATCGTCCTGCTTTCTCAGTATGAGGCAGGAGTTCTCCCCTCTTGCGCTCTCCTTCTTGTGCTTTCTCCTGGTATCCCACTTCCCCATTTACCTCAGGGCTTTGGTCTCCTTCCCCAGGTGAACCTAGTTTAAAGCCCTCCTCACTAGGTTAGCCAGCCTGCGTGCGAAGTTGCTCTTCCCTCTCTTCGTTAGGTGGAGCTCTTCTCTGCCTAAAAATCCTTCTTCTTGGAACACCACCCCATCGTCAAAGAATCCAAAACCTTCTTTCTGACACCACCTGTGTACCATTCATTGACTTCCACGATTTGACGATTTCTACCCGGGCCTTTTCCTTCCACAGGGAGGATGGACAAAAACACCACTTGCGCCTCAAACTCCTTTATCCTTCTTCCCAGAGCCAGGTAGTCTGCAGTGATCCGCTCAATTCATTCTTGGCAGTATCATTGGTGCTCATGTGGAGAAGCAGGAAGGGGTAGCGATCCGAGGGCTTGATGAGTCTCGGCAGTCTCTCCGTCATATCGTGAATCCTAGCTCCTGGCAAGCAGCACAATTCTCGGTTTTCCCGGTCAAGGCAGTAGATAGATGACTCAGTCCCCCTTAGGAGGGAGTCCCCGACCACCACCACCCACCTCCTTCTCTTGGGAGCGGTGGTCATGGAACCTCCATCCCTAGGACAGTGCATCTCATGCCTTCAATCGGTGGAGTCTCCTTCTGCTCCCTTCCCTCAGATGTATCATCTAGTCCACTCTCCGCATTAGTACCTGTGGAGAGAACATGAAAACGGTTGCTCACCTGTATCTGCATTGCTGGTACATGGATGTTCCTCTTTCTTCTTCTGGAGGTCACATGCTGCCAATTTTCTTCACCGTCCTGTCCCCGTTGTGCAGCCTGCTCTGATTCTTCAGAATGGTGTGCCCATAGAAGCATATCCTGACGTCTGTCCAAGAAATCTTCATTTTCTCTTATGAAACGCAGATACTTGTTTCTCCAGACCTTGAACCTTCTCTTCCAATATGGAGACCAGCTTGCAGTTTGTACAGACAAAGTTGCTTCTGTCCTGTGGAAGAAAGACAAACATGGCATATCCTGTGCAGGTCACAACAGCTGAACACTCACCATCCATATTACTTTCCTTCTCAGATCTTCCTCAGCTGTTGAAGTAACTACTCAGAGAAGCCTGCAAGCTGAAAGCTGCAGTGGGCTCTCCCCAGGCAAACTCCCAGGCAAACTCCCTCTGTTAGTCACTCTATGATTCTATGAACTCTATGTACTCTGTTTATGCTGTGGGTGGTTTCCTATTGGCACTGTTGACATCTTAGCCCCAATCTTGTAAAATCGTGCAGAACTTTAATGAGATTTGGAAGAGTAAAGCTACTCATATGTCTTAAATGCAGGATCAGAGCCATAAATGGTCCAATGTAGCTCAAACCTATCTAAAGATTTTCTTGAAGAAAACTAGGGTGACTAGATGTCCCAATATTAGGGGCTTTGTTTTTTATAGGC